TTGTCCAGCTCTACATCAGTTAAAAGGCATCTGTGCTCACTGTAGGTAGTAAAAGAAGCTCTGGTTGGTTGGTCTTTTTCCTGTTGGTTTGGGTGTTTGATGTGCTGACTTTTTTTTTTCGTTAGAGAATATTCAAATTAGCCAGGTACTATTTTCACCTGAGGTGTGCACACAGCTAAGGCAGACAACAGGACTGGATATCCTGGTTTGAGGAATCTAATGGCTGTTTCTAGAAGCAGAGGAACATTTAAAATTAGAACAGTCCACAGCCAGGCAGCTTACTTTATTACTGCATATGACAGAAGTGTGTAACTTCTATATGTATAATACACATGCTGTACACAGCCAGGATCAAGACTGACACATAGATACACAGTGAGAGTTACTACCACGAGTAGTTTCCCATTCAAGTGACAAAAGAGAACAGAGATAAAAGAAGAATGTGCTCAAGCTCCTGGCAGAGGCCCTGGGACAGAGCTGAGGACTGCTCCAGCACTCCTGTTTGCAGGACATCATCTGTTTGCAGCACTGTGATGACAAGCAGCCCCAGCTCCAACCATTCAGTGGTACAGTTCCACAGACAGACAGCTCTCACTGCTCATCAGCTGTGACCTGCTAACTCACAGCCTTTCCCTTTCTGTCCAAAATACCAGCAGAAGAAGGGAAGTCAGTCAGTTCATGCTTTGACACACTTCTCAGGCAATGAATTCATCTAGGGAGGTAAACAGGTGAACAGCCTTGGACAGAGGTTGTTACAGAATTCAATTCATATTGGAAATACTGTTTTGAGTGTGAGACAAAGCAGCTGCTCACAGAGCAGATAAAACTGTTGCTGGCTGTCAGGCACACAGTCTCAGCCAGATGCACTCATGACCTGGCATTCAGACAGACCTCAGTGGAAAACTGGATCTGAGACTGTATATACAGATAAATTCTTACTGTGTAAGGTTCATTTCCTTCAGCTTTGCCACTTCTTGCTTGTGTTTCTCTTGGAACTCCTTTGCAGCTTCTTCCTGCAACAGCACAGCACAACAGTTGCTTTAAGTTCTCAGTGCAAGAGTGACATGTAATGGCAGGAAAATGCCTTTCCCACTGCAAGAGAAGTACCTCTCCTAAAACAAACACCAGATGATCCTGAAAGGCTAATCTCTTTCACATAATGGCATTTTATGTTATTTGTATACACACTTGTAATATTTAACTCCAAGAATACCTCAGCAGATTCTGTGAAAAATCTGTGTTGCAGATAAACAAAGTATGACCACAAGCAAAGCTGTCAGGTTTTAAGTACCAGAAAGTGACAGACGTGATGTGGAATTCTTTCCATCCAAGAAAATTCAGATTACAAGGCTCCTAGACTCGAGGGAACCCCATGAAGTGTTTCTGGATGTATCAAGAAGAAAGTTCATAATTACCAAATCATCATTTAAAGATTTCAGTGTTGGCTCCATCACAATATCCTTTGTTGCCACCATCTGCTCCTCCACAGCTTTTTCCTGGACTGTGTTGAACAACTGTAAATGAAATAAGCCAATATATCTAAGTCTTGCTGATGCTTCTTCCAGGTTACTGCTTTAAAAGAAATAAGAAATGCTGTCTGTCCCCAGGAAACCCTGCAAACATCCCCAGGCACTGGGTTATTTCTGGTGTGTGCATTCCATCACACTGAAATAGAAACCTCAAGGCTGCTTCCTGAAGGCAGAATTATATACAGCTTTTATAAAAAGTATAAAGGCAAAATCAGTGAGCACTCAATGTCACTCACACCAATGCAGTGAACCTGCAGTTTATAACACAATTTATTAATATAGCACCATTCAATCAACGTTTGCAGCTCAAAGCTGCATTTTTTTGGGTATGTTACCTTCTTTGAGATAATAATCATGTTACTCAATTCATCACAGACATTAGGGAGAAAGAAAACCAGATCCAAAAGTTATCAATTACTTCACTGGACTTCAAATCTACCTCTCATTTTTTTTCCCAAGAGAAGTTATAAAGCCACCCCTGCAGGGAGCAATCCTGGACAAGTGGCCCAGGCTCAGCTGGCAGCACGGGCTGTATGCTCAGCATCTTGGTCAGCACACTTCAACGTTTAAAAACAGAAGACAAGCACTATTACTTGAGGAAAACACTGTGTGATTCAGCTCTCTCTTTACTGCCAGGCTCAGGAATTTCAGTTTGGTCCAGCACCACAATCCAGAGCTTGTCAGGATGCTCCTACCTGGACTACCTTGCGGATGATTCTGTTGAAGAGACCCATCAACTGACTGCTGGGCAGCTCCAGCTCCTTCTCCAGTTGGTCCAGAGATTTATGCTGCAGGCCAATCCCTAGAAAAAGGGCCTGGGGAAAGGCATGGATTTCAGTTACTGAGGCTGCCAGAGCAAACACAAATACACAACACCCTCTACATTCCCTACCCAAAGCTTCTCTGGTAGGAGCTGGAGCTTTCCCAGATGCACAGGAACACCCCATGATGGTTCTGTAGGTGGCAGGTGCCACTCCATACCCAGTACAGACAAATACTTTTCCCTCAAGCTCAGTTCAAGAGCCACAAGTTTTTGAGGGGGTTTTAAGCCACAGTTCATATCAAAATATACATGCATGGAGTGTTCCACTGAACACACAACACAATATGATCCCAAATGCTAAAGGTGGAAGAACACTACGAGCAGGAGAAATCATGAAGAAGACTACAAAAGAAGCAATTAACTGAACCAAAGTCTTTTTTTTTAAAGATGACACGAAACAGGAAACTATTCCAAATCTATCTAAAAGAGAAGTGAACCATGGCTTGTTCTCACAGCGAGACCTACCGACTGTGCAGCAGAGAGAGAGATATCTCCCAGCTGGTTGAGAAAGAACATCCTGGCAATGGCAGGCACCATGTCCATGATGAGATGATAGTCCACCATGTTGCGAGAGTACATCTCTAACCTCTTCAGGTCATAGGGGATGAAAGCTGACTCCAGTTCAGCACGGCTGATGGCTGAGGGGGACAACAAAAGACAACATCAAGATTTTCTTCACAGCTACCCAGGACATTGGTATTTAACATGTTCCTTTTCATATCAGTGAGTAAAGGCCATCTGCTACCCCACAGGTTCAACTCTCCCAGCACATGAGGTTCAACACTTCTACTCAGACTGGCTTGGTTATTCCAAGTCTTTTCAGACAGACATGTGTCCAGGTGAAAAACACTGCAAGTGTCAAAAGAGAGCAGCAGATCAACTTGAAGATGCCAGAGAGACTGAAAACAGTGAGGGCTGAGAAACACAGTGTGCCCAGTCTTTACCTATCTTACACTGGTTTTGCTGTTAGAGAGCTTTGTTCCCTTCTAGCAGCAACCAAAACTCTTCCAAGACAGATGCTAAAACCCCACGAGGCACAGATTACCAAGTTCCCTCCAGAAGACTCCCCTCTGTTAGACACAGTGAGAAACCAGCAATTAGCTCTTAAACCAGAAGTAACTGCTACAAGTGTCTTGTCTGGCTCCTTTAATTTCTCCTGCCTGTGTGTTTCCCCCAGCAAGTGCTGGGTTGAGCCCAGTAACATGCAGCTGAACTAAAGCCTCTCTCTTAGAAAGGCATCACGCTGCCATTTCCAAATTTCTGATGACAATGTTCTTCCTAAGATCCTAAGCAAGCTGCTCTGCCTGCTGACCCTTGCTCTTCAAGGCTTCCTTTCTAACTCCATACTGGATTTGGCAGCTGTCAGTATCTATCCATGTTTTGTCATGCATTTAGCAGTTACAGTCAGGAGCCCTCTCATTTTGGGTTACTTAAATCTTCAATAAAAAAAGCAGGGGAAAAAAAACCAAAACAAAACAACACAAACCCCTCACTACTACCCATTCTCAGTGGCAGAAAATGCCCTCTTAGCTTTTACTTAGAGCTACAAGGATTGTTCTGGATAATAGGAACAAATTACAGCAACTGACCACGTGCAGTTCAATGCACTTCATAACAGACATCATACAATGCATGTATTTGAGAACTCTGACAAACAGACTTCAAACTGCCATCTAACTGAACCTGGGATCCAGGGTACTCACGTGGCTGTGGCTGCTGTCTGATGTTTTTGTTCTGTAGAATATTCAATGCCAGTGAGGGAGAGAATGTGCTGAACTGGTAGGAAAGCAGAGCTAGGAACCGCCTCCTAAAATCTATAGGACAAGATGATAAAAGAAATTACTCCTGGGGACATCCAGAAGAAATATCCCAAAAGATTCTTCTTGTGTTGGGAAAATCAAAGGTACCTTTCCAGAAGGCAGTGAGCCAGGGCTCCTGTTCAGAGTCCTCTTCATTCAGTATCTTCAGCATGATGCAGGAAATTCTAATAAACAAGATATAGGTCCCATCATCCCCCTGAATCTTTTGCACTCTGCATTCAACTGAAGAAGACAAAGGTCTTCTAAATCCACAACAATGCATATATCAGCCTGGTTTGATGGCAGTGCTGGGTTAATGGTCAGGCTTAATCTTAAAGATCTTTTTCAACCAAAAAGATTCTGTGATTCTATGAGACTTAGAAGACCACATTCACAACCCTAAAACTTTATTGCTTTAGTTCACTAAGGGCCCAAAGAACAAAAATGAACATCTAACAAACCCCAAATGTAGACTCAGAAAACTTTCCTGCCCAAATCCCACCTCACAGAAGCTGATGGAAAGATGCCCAGTGACTTCAGTGGGGCTGGATTTCATTCAGAAACAGTAAGCTACTTACTGGTGTCTGCCTTAGATAAACTGGCACAAATCCAGCACGTTTCCAAAACCTGGGGAAACAACAAAGCAGACTGAGAACTATGGAGCTGTTGATTCTACAGTAACACTTGTGTTAAAATGCAATCCATCTACCACACAAGAACAGTGGCTGAAAAGTAAGAAAAAGTCTTTAAGACACCCCACCGACTGCTTGACAGCAGCAGTAACAGCAATCAAATGACTAATGAAAATGAACCTTGACAGCAGCAGTAACAGCAATCAAACTGCCTGAGGTTCTAATTTAGGAGTGAAAAATTAGGGTTGTGGTATCAAAAAATGAACAAAGTTTCAAGGACTGACAGATGTGATAGAGGAGTTACTGTATTTGACATGTTCCCAGGGCCTCCTTTAAAAACAGGCCATCAGATTTTCACCAATAATATCACAGACTCCAAAGGGATACCCTGGGGAGGGCCTGAGGATTCACAATGCCCTTCAGAGGCTCTGCTCTTCTCCAATGGATGATGATCTTCCCTGGTAACTCCTGGGTTTCAAATAGTCACCCATGGACCAGCGAATCCCAGGCTGATCAGCAGAACCCTGCTGACATCCCTGTCCATCCTCCTGTTCCTTCCTGCTTCTCAGCTGTGAACTGATCCTATTCTGTTCTGCCCAGTAAGAGGAGGACTAGTACAAAACGACCTGCTGAGACCAACCATCTGGCATCCCAGACAAAAGCATTCAGTCAGTCCCCAGAGCAACTGCCCCTGGCAACCCACCTCCACAGGCCATGGCTGTCCACCCATCAGCTGTGCAGGATGTTGCAGATTTCAGCAGACCAGCTTCTGCCTGGCCCACTATTCATCCTTTTCTATACCTATCCCACCACAGCTAACAGTCAGATAACTAAAAAAGAGGCAGTGAAACACTTTATTCTCCTCCTCTGCCCTGAGAGGGGTCACTCAAGTACAGACATGTGAACCATCATTGGCTTAATAATTTCTGAAGGTGAAGATTACTTCACAAAACCCATTCATTTCTGATGCTCTCCTGCACAGCTAAACAATTCACCATCAAATTTTGGCACGAACTTTGTAGCATGCTTGCCAGGGAACAAAACAGGTCACAGTCTCTGCATCTGAAATGCCAAACTGCACGTAGCTGCCTAGAGTTGTTCTGACTGGGGCAGTCAGACTGGCCTCCACTGCTCTTACTTCTCCTGTTTTAAGCTAAAATTTAAAGAAAACTTAATAAATTATTTACTGCTGCAGTAACCCAGTTCCTCCACACTATGAAAAGCAAGAAGCAGCTGCAGTTGCTGGTGAAAAGCATTTTAGTCAGGAAACAACTAGCTTTGAAGTCAGCAGTGGTTCAAGCTTCTACAGGTCACACAAAGTAGTATTTAACTTCTCCCAGCTTCTCACAAGCTGTTCTTACTTCTCTAGCCTGGAAAAATGGAGCAATTAAAGCTAGTTATCTGTTTAGAAGGGTCACAGACAAGACATTCCAGAAGGGAATGGATTTGCCCTTAGGAGCGGGAGGAAAAGCTACCCTCAAGGATGCACTGAGGGTTAGCCCATCATAAAAGGTCTTACAGGAGAAGTGGGACTCAGTTTTAGAAACCAAGTGAAACATGCAGAGATAAAGAGAATATCCAAGAGCTAAAATATCTGCATCTTTATCTATACATTATATTATTGTATACA